GATAGACGGACTAGAGTACGCGTTGCTGGTCACCCACGTGCAATGCACGGTGAACATCATCAGTAGCATCAGCATGCCGATAACGACGCCGTTGCGAAGATTTGGCGCCTAATCCGTCGCCGCTACCTTTCGGCCTCTCGTGCTTCATTCTACGAAGCTTTCCGGCTTTATCGTACAATGCTCTGCCGGGGCTTCGCTCCCTCTCTTCCTCGCTTTCCTCGTTGCTCTCGGTGCCGTTCCGATCGTCCCGATCCTCCTCCTTCAGATACAGCTCCACGAGTTTGCTGATGGCGACGCCAGCCAGCATGCACACCACTGGCGTCAAGGTCAACATAAGTCTCACCATCACTCCAGCGAAGTAAACGGCACTTATGGCGTACAGTATGACTGCGAAAAGATTAATATTATTTATCGCATAGAGTATTCTCTATCTCAACTACATTCTCACTCCGATTTCTTACCGAAAACACGCTCGTCATTCACGTGCTTGATGCAATACCAAAGACCGACCGGGAACGTTGCGACGAGAACGTGCAAGTCGAAGAAAAAGCTGAACCAAGTTGTCGGTTGGTGTTCCGACACCGATGCTATTATAGGGATGTGTACTTTGGCGTAACCGGTGTCCCATAGCGAGTAAAATCTACCGCTCCAGGGAGCGACGACACCGGCGTACGTCAATGCGATCAAAACTAACAGGAGTAGAGCGGCCGTGACGGCCACTACACCGCCGAAATATTTCATCTCAGACTTGGTAAGTACAGTTCTTAAGTATCTGGAATCGCAGAAATCAGCATGAGTAATCATAACAATTAACGCACTAATGTTATAGATTAAAATTGCACGTACCTGAGAGCTGCTATGAAGATTAGGAGACCGAATACACCACCCGCAGCCATATGCTCTGAAGTTCTGATTGGTTGAAATCCGACGAATGGTACTTGCATACTTAATAAAAGTCCGAGAACATAAAATGTGGTGTAACTGGTAAATAATCGATTGCTATAACGGTTCATCACCAGCAAGGCGAATACATGAAGTGGAATCAGATTGATAATGAACACATAACCACCCCATGCCGATACCATGTAGAAGTAAGATAAAGCAGTTATGCTCGCCCAAAAGATTGAACCAGTTTTCACTGATTTAACCCAAAGATAATAAGTGATTTGCAATGCAAAGATTGCAATTCCTTCGTTGTCATAACTGCCGGCCACAGATCTCGAAATGTAGCCAGGTACAATGGCGATAAAGCAAGCGGCGAATAAGCCAGCTCCAGCACTCCATATTTCCTTCGTTAATAAATATGTAGATATGGCAGTAAGGCCACTAAAAATTGGAGCTAAGAATACACATATGTCTCTTATATGCACTGGTATGTTTAGAGAGTGCAATATGTAATGTATTGATCCAGAGGTTATCATGAGACCAGGGTAGACAGTTCCGCCGACGATTCGGCCCAATGGATACCATGCTCGTTCGTCGAACCAATTTAAAAAATTGTAGAATCCATGTTGTACCATATACGCTGTTGCTCTGTAGTTGAACCTAAATATAAAATATATCTAAAATGTAAATTAGGCAAAAACTTTTATTCTTAAAGAAAATCAATAAAAGAAAACAAAAGAAATTTACTAATTTCATAATCATTAAATCTTATTCATCTAAAGATCATCTAAAGATATTCACATGTAATCTCAGATGAGAAGTGAGAAAATTCTCACATATCTTTAGATAAGATCAAAATATCACTCATCTTTACGTTATCGTTACAAAAAAATTAATTTTTCCGCTTCGAAAAACACAACAGCAGATTTCGTCAGTCGCGCGAAACTGTCGTGCAATTATACGCCGAATACGTACCAAGGATCGAACTCGTGTATGATACTCTCGAAACGTATGACCGCGAAAAGCCGCGAGGCGAAACCGGAGATCCAGGCGAGCAAAAGAACGGTGAAGGTGATAAGGGAGCTGAGGCCGGCGGCGTTCGTCAGCGTGGAGGACTTCATTTGCTTGGTCGTCGATCTCTTGTCCGGGAACATGACCTTCGCGTTCGTCGTGCCGGGCGACGACGACGGCGACGGCGACGGCGACGATGGGGATGGTAACGATGACGACGACTTGTTCGGCAGCATGTTTTGTCGCCTTGCGTTTTTTTTTTTTGCACGGACGTTAGATATACACGTTATATATCCACGTTATCAATGCGCTCACAACGTGGCACTCGCCATATATGCGTAAACACCCGCAGTACGGCGCACAACACGTTGCAAATCAAGCGGCGCGCAACAAATTACCAAATCGCTATATGCCTAAGCTAGGAGGCTAGGACACGTCGAACGCCGGCTACGTGTTAACCATGACTTCCACCGCAGCTGCTGCGGTATTTGATAAAGACGTATCAGCGACGGACGGCACGAGAGCGAGAAAGAGAGAAAATCGGTGCGTTCGAATATCGAGCTCTGATGTGAATTTCAGCTTTGAGTTGGCGTGCGTCGATTGGTAATCTATCCACCAATGGGGTTCGATCTACTTCGGAAAATGAATCAAGCTTTATAAATCCGTATTCACACAGTGTGTGCCGTGCTTAAAGGACTATCCACACGAGTAAAATTTATAGAAAATCTGCTTGCGCGTACCATTTTTGTTTGGGTTAGGAACGTAACGAAGTTGTGCAAGGTTAATGAGATCTTATGAGATACAGATTCTTTATATCTAGTCATATATGGAGTAATATTTATAGGTATGTTTATTATAGATCACATTTTATAGAAATTATTTTAATAGATGTCAAAATCTTTCTCATTGTCAACTATTGTCATAAAATTACATCTTATGCAATATAGGTTTGTACAATATTATTTTGCAGTTAGCGAAACATAACTGTGTAAGAAAGGAATGTCAACGCTGTTGACAATCATCTCAAGTTTTCAATGTTCTCGACTAAGGCACGATTAATAGAACGCACAGGGAAAAATGGTGTCAATCGTTATGATTTTTTGAAGCTTCTAGCAACTGAATATAAAACAGCCAAGTCTAAAGGTAAGAAACAATATAAATGCATGTCATCATTTTTCAGTTAGCATAATGATAATAATGTCTTTGAAATTATTAGATGCAAAGGAACAAGTGTTGGCAAACTTAGCAAATTTTGCCTATGATCCTATAAATTACGGATACATAAGACAGCTACAAATAATTGATTTGTTTCTCTATGCTTTATCCGAAGAGAATCCAACATTAGTACGTTACGCCATAAGTGGTATTTGTAATTTATGTTTAGGTAAGAATATTTACAACTGAAGTCATATACAAAAAGTTTGGTATTTCCAATTATTAAGTAATGTTTCTTTCAGATGCAATAAATAAGATATACATTCTGCGCAATCAAGGCGTTGAATTAGTATCATCATTACTTTCTTCCCAAGATGAAGACATTGTGCTCTCAACAATTTCTACTTTGATGTTTTTAATCACACCTGAATCAAGAAACGAAATAACATCGACCGAAATAATTAAACACATGTTGGAGTTTTCACATAGTGACAATATTCGTATTAAAAATTTAGCAGCTATATTTTTAAGTGACTATTGTGAAGAAAGTGAGATAGAAAAGATAAAAGAGGACAATAAGTAACTTGCTTGAATGAATAAATATCTAGTTAAATGAAATATCACAAATATTTATTTGATTGAAATTGATTGTATAAACTAATAGATACGTTGTTAGTAGAAAAAACATCATGAAAATTCAATGTTTTGCTAGATTTTTCAAAAATCATTCTATAAGAACTTTATTCCAAGCAAGATCATTTGCTGATACAACAATGAACAATTTGAGGGAAGGTGATGAGGTGTCAGTTTTCAGAAAGATAACAAATAATGACATACTCAAATTTGCTGAATTGACAGGTGATTATAATCCAATACACACGGAATCGGTAAAAAATATAGCACATGGTGCTTTACTCAATGGTCTGGTGTCAGGGTTGATTGGTACAAAGTTACCTGGTCCAGGCACTATTGTTATTGAACAAAATCTTACATTTCCTAAACCGTGTTATGCTGGTGATTGTATACAAGTCGTAGTCAAAATCGTATCAGTAAGAAAAATTATTAAATGTGTATATATGTGTATCGCTAATGGAAACCAAGTTGTATTAGAAGGAGAGGCGAAACTTATGAGGAAGGCACTGTAAATATTTCATTGTTATGAGAGTTTGAATAAAATTCTGCATTTTCTAATATATATCTATAAATACTTTTTTATCAATATCATTTTTTCATTATTTCTATAAAAGTGAAAGATATTTATATAATTTACAAAAATATCTTTTAAACTTTAATTATCAGCAACTGTATTGCTTAAATGGCATTAAAATTGCAGTTTTAAAATGCGTCTGTTGCTCAGGAATGCAGTATATCTCAATCATAAATTAATACAAACAAAACAAAAATTAATACAAACAATTAAAGCAACAATTAATGCAACTCTTACTGCGTAAAGACTGAAGTTTTGCTTAGCAAGCATTCCTTGTGCGACCTATATTTGTTGTAACATTGCAACACAATGTGACTATAATGAGCTTTAAAGCATCAGTCTTATCAGACTTGCGTGAAGTTCTGTGAAGTGAGGTTCCTTGCGGTGAATATAAGTTAAATTACTGACACATAATTTCGGACATTTTTCCAAAAAAAGAACTTGGTATTTTTCTTCTTTTATATGTTTCTAAATAGTACATCGAAATTATATTTAATATAAATTGGCATAGTTCATGTAGCTAAAATTGAACAAAAATCAACGTTAATAGCTGTAATAATTAAAATTTCAGGGCAAAATGTACGTGGCTTTATTGATGATGGCTCTTTGCATATCATACTCTTACGCAGAAAACAATAGTACTGTTTCAAGCATTGAATCATCTGCAAAAGTCGAGGAACCTATTGGCTGTGTTTGTGGCGTATTTCTAAGCGGACAATTTAAGAGAGGAAGCAGGGAGCAACCTACGGGATATCCTGCACTCCTCCATGAATATCCTGATCGACTTCCATGCACTGTCATGGGAAATAGACTTTGCACCAGCAAATGTCTCGATGTTGTAAGTTTTTTTAAACCTGGCATTTTACTACAGCTGTTTTCTTTTTATTGCTTTATTTATATATTTTCACACTTTTTGCAATCCTAAACGCGGATATTTGTATTTTGCAGATAGTGAAATATTTACCGAACAGCCCGGCGATCCTTTGTGCTTCTCTGGACCGTGATTGTTATAGAGAAAGAGTAAGTGTGAATTAATTTTTGCTGTCATATTTTTATTTCGAAAACATGAAAATTTTGAAACCATACAACTTCAACATATACCTATTTTTCGGCAGGCTTATCTTTTCATCCAAAACTGTAAGGATGAGTGGATGAATACCAATCTGTCTGCGGGCAAAGAGTATTGTTGTAAAGATGGATTGCCATACAAATGTCGTTAATGTGAATTTAAGATGATACTTTTGTACAATAATGATAGTTTTGATAATAGTGTTCGATGATAGTAGTTCGATAATAGCATTTATAATAAACAAAGCACATTGATTTGTGGTACTTGTGACTTTACTTTGAATATCCCACCACTTGTCTAAATATAACTTGTAGATCATCAGACACGCTCCACAGAGGCACACAGGAATTCAGCACAAATATCCGAAACCATCTTTCTATATTTAGATTGTGAGGTTCGAAAATTTTATCCACGTAGTGTCAGTTCAGAATTTATGCAGATATTTCATAAAATTTTATTGGAGCAATTATGGTCTACAAAGTGTATCATTAAATTCCATTTTGATTTACTGGTTTCAAGGTTCAAGTATAACCCCAAGTAATCATTACAACTACAATGCCAGCTTCAAGTTATAAGATGTCATTGTTTAATGTGAGAACTTTGCATTCGTGACACTTGATTACTATTATGTAAAAATTGGAAAAATGCTCAAACGTGTCGTACAGTATAAGTGCCAAAAATGTATTACGTTTTGTAAAAACTAATAAATACACAATACATAGAAGCTGGAAGCCTAATACAAGAGATTCTGTACTCAATAAACAAAATGTGCGCACGACTGTTGGCGTGCCCGTTGTGTTCTCAGCCTGGATTTCTAACACTCGATGCACTACGAGCTGGACTAGTGAGTGTAGCAACTCGACCCCTCGTATGTCCTGTTTGCAACGAGGTGCTACTAGGAATAGATAAATTAACTATACATCTGTTTGGTCATACGATCAATCTGAATAATAATGCAGCGGAATCATCTAAGCATACCACAACTTCCAATGAGCATCTGGTTGCAGTTCACAATGCACACAATATCGCTTTACAAGACTGGAATGTATTGAAGACACAACAAACAGGCAAAACGCAAACTCCGAGTGACGACAACAGGACTTGTGCGGAGCCGTCAGACATCGGTATATCGAATGCGGACAATAAAATCTCCATTATAAATTCTCAAGTGCAAAATCAAGACTCAGTGAAAAGTGCGAGTCAATACGATCTCACAGCAGATTATAATTATGACGTGATAAAAGTAAATATCATGCCGCAATCGAATGAAGATCAAGATGCAGTGCTAAGATCAACCACGAATTTGCAGCAAGGAGTATTGAGAACAAATTGTGCACTGCAATACCTTTGTAATGACAATACGAAGCGCTTAAATGTATCTCAGGAAGACGCACAGGCAGAGAAAACGATTGTACCGGATTTAATAACTGTGACAAAGGTGGCGGAAGCTATAGACACCAATATCTTTGGGAATATTGAAGAAGAATGCGTGGAGTCGAATAGTGGCCGACATTTCGCGAAGGAAGGACTGATGACAAACTTGGTCGACAAAGAAAGTGACTTGTCTAATTTTCAGTCGATTCAAAATGTAATGCCAGGTGCATCGTCAGAAGAATGCAATAATAAGGAAAGTTTATTCAACGCAAAGGAGACTATGCTCAAGACAAACGCGGAAAATCAAGATTCGAAATACACGAGTATGCTGGCGTGCAGTAGTAAAGTTTTTCGAACCATAGCGTCAAAAGAAAAAACGGAAAGATGTAACATATGCGGCTTCCACTTTCCTGACACTAATATACTGACTTTGCATAAGCAATTAGTGCACGAGCAAAATTCAAAAAATATCCCGGGGAGAGCTCTAAAAAATTTTTCATGCCACTTGTGCTCGAAAGTGTTCAAAATGAGAGGCAGTTTAATGGTGCATATGAGAGTGGCGCATATTGGACACAATACAGGCAAGTGTGATTACTATACGCTATATAATTTGCTCGCTTAACTTAACGTATGTATATAAAAGTTATTATGTGTAATTGTTGTATACAGGTTCTCTGTTCAAAGACGGCCAGATTGAACTTGCATGCAGCGATGCTGAATACACCTGTCCTACGTGCGGAAAGAAATTTAAAAAAGTGAAAATATCTTCCTTCCGTTTACAATACTTGCTGTATATAAATAATACTTTAATAATTTATAAGCTTCTCTTCTCGTTTATATTTTTCTTTCAGGAGCAACATGTAATACAGCATCTGAAAACCCATGAAGGCAAACAGTGGGAATGTGATACTTGCAGTAAGATGTTTACAACAAAGTATTTTTTGAAGAAGCACAAACGACTGCATTCGGGGGAGATGCCGTACAAATGTAAAATATGTGACAAAAGTTTTACCTTTCAACAATCTTACCACAAACATAGACTTTATCACAAAGATGATAAACCTCACACTTGTGCAACTTGTGGCAGATCATTCAAAGAACTTTCTACATTGCACAATCATGAAAGGATTCACACTGGAGAGAAGCCATTTGCGTGTGAAACGTGTGGTATGTTGTGAAAAAAAATTATTAAAAAATAGTTAATGTGACATTAATAATTTGTTTCTTATTACTTAAAATTTACTAACGATTAACATTATTTTGCATAGTTTCTATAACATGGTGTGCTGTGCATGTCATTAAAAGCAGGTAATTTTCATTAAAAATGCAGCTAATTTAGTTTATAAATGTACAAGCTGAAAACAATAATCCTTTTTTGTTTTTTATTTATTACCATACTAATTCTTCTGCAGGAAAATGTTTCCGTCAGCGTGTTTCGTATTTAGTTCACCGTCGTATTCACACAGGAGTGATGCCTTATAAATGCACAATGTGTGATAAAAATTTCCGATATAAGGTACAATATAATTGCACAACTTATACATTTGATTTGTTAATAACTTTTATTTCAATTTTAATAAATTATGCTTATAGGTGAGTCAAAGGACTCACAAATGCCCTGCACAAACATCAGGCAACATCCAACAATTGTCTGACACAATTGCACAGGAGGCTGACGACAAAACAATCAGACAGCAAACAACCAACACTTTAAAAGATAATCAATCCTTGATGAACATTGTCGATAATGAAGAAAATAAATTTGTACTGATAATAAATGCCCAAGGACAACATGTTTTAGCACTGCAGTCAGAGATAAACAATGTAACTTTGGAGAGAAAAGAGCAAAAGATGGAATTTAGAGATAATGATGTAAACAAAGATTCAACAGGCAAAGTATGGAGTGCAAATAATTCCAATTCTGTAGAACTCAAAGAATCTGCAGAATCAGTTAAGAAAGTACAATCAGATAACGAGAAGATTAACATGAAAAACACAAATGATTTCTTTTCAATGGTGATGTCACCTCTCAAAAGTAGCATATCATCGCCTACTTTTGAAATGGAGCACTTGAGAGTGTCTTCACCTAAGCAGAAAGATAATTCGATAGATTCTTACACAGATTTCCCAGAAGTCTCTGACAATGCACAGATAAATATAGTGGAGCCAGGTATAGAACAGAGCTTCGGTTGCGGCAAAGACGTTAACAATTCTTTACAAACCATAAATGAAGAATCATTAAAAGAATTGTTATATGGTATGGATAGAAAATAAAAAGAATTATACATTTGGTTTAACGTGATAGTACAAATTAACGATATATTAACATTGTCCATCAATTTTAGACAAATATATAGAGAATAGATTATAATTAATATTTATTTTAGATGTAAAACTGTGATGTGATTGTGTTGTAACATTGAATTATCTTTATATATTAATTATATGAATGATAATACAAGTCAATAGATAACAGATGTCATATGTATAATTATTACTCTACCAAATAATTTATTACTTTTAGAAACAATCGAATAATAATAGAATAAAACGTTACATTTCTAATTATCTTAATTTACATGTACTTACTGTCAATATTGTAAGATTTTTATATTTTAAACGTTAATTCAGTCTACTTTTTGGGTTATATTTCTCGCTGTTTCGAGAAACTAGCGCCTCTGTTGGAGTAAAAGTAAAACATGGAATCGTAATAAGCATATTTTGGTCACAATTATGGAAAAAAACGCATAACAATTATGATATTCTTAATCAGAAAAAGTATATGCAACTTAGTAAAGAGCGATTTTTTGAAAAAATGGTTAAAAAAATTTTTCTAAAATAAGCACCGAGTAAAGATTTGTCTAACGGCTCCGAGCCGAGAGAGAAAGAGCCTAAGGGAAAATGTTTATTCTGTCTCGCACATTTATCTAAATGAAAAAATAATAATGGGGCGCCTTCTCTGTCACTCTATCGATTTTTCACAAACAAGCTCGGTTAACTTTAAAGCCCGTTTACGCAATTACCAAATTACGCATTGTAGATTGAAGATTAAAGATTGAAATTTGACCATACGAAACAAAAGGAGCTAAAAGTTCTTTGTCCTGATTGGTCAAATTTCAATCTTTAATGTGTAGTTTGATACGGTTGTAAAGGCCAATGTCCACGATGCTAGAAATTGGTCCGAAAAATGTATAACCAATCAACTTGCATTTTTTATGGAAAAATGGCAATTTTATTGGCTATATGTTTCTCGGACCGATTTCTAGCATTGTAAACATTGGCCTTAACGGCGGTGCTTATTCCAGTATAAAGTTCACTGGTCGATTACCAAACTATACTCCGTCCAGCGAGAGAATATACTTGGCTCAGACAAAAACTCGTCCGTTTCGCGCAGGTTCCCCTCACGGAACGCTTAAAAAGCCCCCCCTCCCCCCCTCCCACTCCACATACTGTACTGCTCGTGCAGCTTGTCAATACCAACAATTCTCCCCACTTTGGCCATTATGCTTCTCCTATGCGCAGAAAGAGGTATATTCTCTCGCTGGATAGAGTATGATAGCGTTTTCGACTGGCATAGGTTTATTCGCTTCGAGAGTGATTAAACCCAATTTTCGATTGAACATATGTTCAATCCGAAATAGTTAATCTGATCTAGGTTCTAGTTATAAAGCAGCATTAAAGTAAAATGTCAAATCGACGTCACTTAATACTTGCTGTTACAGAGTTTTTGTTTTCATCGAACAGTTCTGATGATGATAATATAAAAATAAAAGCAAAGTTGATATGTATTAAAAAAAAATAATACCACGCATAAGTACAATCATGCAAGTAGTTAAATAATATAATAAACATGAAGTTAGTGATATATATAAACGTATAACCTTACAAATCTCTATTTATGCTACAAAATAAATTAATAAGTAATGTGATAAATTTTATACAAATATAATTTTATATTTCGATTATTCCTAGGTTGCGTTCCGTAAAGCGCATATGCGCGCATGTATCTACGTTATTATGTATACGTTATGTATACATTATATATAAGTTATGTATATGTTATATATACATTATGTATACGTTATGTATACTATAAATACATGCGCACATATGCGCTTTACGGAACGCAGCCCTAGTAATCAAAGTAGAACCTAGTAACCCCGGGATGGAACTTATTCTACGGAGTAGATTCTATGGACGTCATTAGGTCTGTTCTTTATAACTGAACTGGCTGCACTAGTTCAGAGTTTATCTTTCTCCTTTCAATATGGAGAGAAAAAGATAAACTCTGAACTAGTGCAGCCAGTTCAGCTATAAAAAACAGACCTATTATTCACTCTCGGAGCGTGTAAACCTGTGCTAGTCGAAAACGCTATAGATTATCTCTTGTCGGTGCTGTACGAACCTTTGAACTGTAGATCACGACGTTAGATAGCGCGGCTGTCGCGCGACGAGTAGAAGCGCGCAGTCCGCGCATGTAGATCTATTCTCAATGATTGGCCGTTTCGAAATACGACCAGTACGTTCGTCTCTGTGTACCTGGGTGTACATAGTTTAGGTCTTTCCGTCCAACGTAACATTGACGGCGCGGCTCTGATTTCCACGCGTGCCTCAAGGACAAGCCCGACGAGCGATAAGAACGGACATCGCGATAGAAAAAGACGAGGAGAGCGCAGTGACATACCGGGACAGCATAGAGGAGACGCGTCTAGAGCAATCGCGCACATAGAGACCCGGCCGAGTTTTCGACGCTTCGTCTCGAGCGTCGCAGCCCAAAAAGACAGCAGCAGCGTCGTCGCACGTCGATTTTACGGAAGGACAGCGTCAGGAGAAGGAGGGCGGCAGTAACAGGTGGAAAGGTAAGAACAATACGTTATTCCATTTCTCGAGCGTGTACGCAGCCGCCTTCACGTTGTTCGAACGTGCCGAAAACCACCGACATTAATCATTGTTGTCGATGTTTTGATCGGAGTATCGCGCGGATAAACATGCGCAAGTAACGCGACTTTTTTCATTTCCTACAACTTTTGTTTTTACGTTTTTATTAAAGGCTTTTCTACGATTGACGCGACGCTACGCGACGCGCAGCTAGTCAATAGCCGTGATTATTCGACGCTTACGCGTCACTCGCTCCATTTCTGTCTTTCTCACTCTCCCTATTATTCTTTCGCCTTAAATGTGAGAGGGCGGCGCGGGGCGTAGTTCTATGGATTCGCGTGAGTAGGAATGAATGAACGATACTTTTGACAGCCTTGTGTGCATTGACCGACGCAGATGCCCACCGAATGAAATTAAACGAAGAGACCGAACTTGACAGAAATTTTTCTCTGCGCAGTTATTATATACTTAACTGTAGATCTCTAAGACTACATAAATGGAAATTGCTATTATAACGTTTTAATTTGTGTTATATTTTCTTTATTCGATGACTCACTAAAAGCATTTCAAAAGTTTATTGTTACCCTTTTTATCATAATGTTTGAATCACGCGTAATAATACAATAGTGAAGATACTAGCTCTGGTAAAATGATATTAATTTGAGATAAAACACGCACTATATTATAGCGCTGTGTGAGAAATATTTCTTTGTGAAATTGTCTCTTAATTAAATATCGCTTAAAAACCAATTTTTCCAGGCACGATTTGTCAATACGCGAGATACATGTATCGCGGAGCGATAAAGTTTTTGGAAATTGATTTCGGACTGATCGCACGATATTCGATAACGTCGTGTTCGTCAAAATTTATCTTACTTCCAACAAGTTTACAAAGTGTAACGTATTTTAATATCTCGGTGAGATAGCGATATTATACGCATGAATCTCAATGTTACACCCACATGTGTTTGGCAAACGCGATGCGTTTCTTTCCGGCAGCCATTTACATGTGATTATCTTTATTTTTCCGCAAAATACTATTAAACACTGCTAATTTGAGATCTTTTTTTGCTTAATCCGCGAATGACTGTACAATTTCAATTTATATTTTGGAAGCTCAAAATCAAACGAAGCTTAAAATGTGTGCTTAAATTATCTGTGCAACATTTGTACGTATCCAATTTTGATACTGTTCTTAACACCGGAAACGAAAACGGTACAAACATATAAACAGTTGTACGAATAAAAATACTGTTTTATAAAAGAGATAAAGAGAATTAATTACAGTATAATATAATTTTAATAAAAAATGAATTTTAAAAGAAGTTTAAAATAGTTAATACAATCATATATATAATACTCTCTTTAATTATATTTATTTAATGCATCGCGTGCGGCAGTAGCTCGATGCGCGAACTCAGCTTTTCATTATTTATCATAACAACCGTTGCGTTTATTCGCTAAAAACTGTTATATTTTGATTCATTCTGACACAATTCTTTACACGCCGAACTATCGCTTCTTTCCGTGATGTGAATTTCAATCAGGCAGATTTTATGAATTAGCAGCAATACAGCGTGCACATGACATATTCTCTTGGTAACGCAATATTTATCGCGTATTACACAAATGCGGGAATACTTTCGCTATTTTATCCCTCGCACTCGTGGGAGGCTTTAACAACCACGTGCGCCTCCGCGCACTGCCATTCGCGCGAACTGTCACTATCTATTTCCAGCAGGGATGACCTCACGCTGAGATATTAAGTAATTGCTGCAGCGTGCGTTTCGAATGACATAATATCGGGACACCGAATTCCAGGATTAACGGATCTCCGAGACGATCGAACGCTTTGCGTTTTGCTTTGCTCCGCGTGAAATCTATTGTCCGAGCTGGCATGAGTGGAATTAAGCGACCGTCTTAATTGACACGTAGTCAATTCATGTTTCTTCTCTTATCGCAGCAACAATTACCGGAAGTTGTTTTCGGTGAAGTCCCGATAAGGCCGCAGGCGAGCACCGATCCATCTGCCGTTATCGTCGACGCAAACGCGTTTACGCCTGCACGATAACTCATAATCGATCTGCGCGGCGTTTCATTTTCGCGTCCTTCGGTGTCGATCACAGTGTGTATCACCGGCGGTGTTCTCTCGCATATAATCTCTCGTAGGGCATTAATTGAACGGTAATTACAGGAAGTGCGAAAAAATATGTGTTCAGTAGAATGTGTGTCTTCGTGTTTGCGTCGGTGATTGATCGATCTGTGATTGAAATGAGTCAATATACTAAATTAATTAATTACTGTTCATCCGTACGGCTTGCGTGGTACATACAACACACACACACACACACACACACACACACATATGCATATATATATATGCATAATGATGATGATAGAAACTAAGCTACAGTTTTATACGTGTACGTAAATTATGTATTTAAATCGTATATTCGTGTTATTTCTTTAATTGCAATCGATAAAGTCATCATTAAGCGTTATAAATCTTTTATATTTGACAACTATGCTAAATTAAATAAATAATTGTAGAGCACATTTTACAGTGAAGTTAAAAATAATCTCGTGCGCATAGTAGCTCGATAAGAGTAAATAAATGATAGTTTCTAACGCAAAGGAAGTTATGAATCGACTAAGCGTAAATATGAAGGCACATACTTGAAGCATATTGTTTTATGCGTTCGTGTTTAATTATAAAGATGGCAAGTTGTTTGTATATAATCAATTAATAGCACTATGTTTGATATAGTAAATAGAGCGTGCTTGTGGATGATTTTTCTCGCCGCTTTTCGATGAAATTTTCGACGAGAAGTAATACATTGATTTTGAAAATTGAAGTATTTTTAATACATTGGATATTTAACAAAGATGTTCAAAATATTAGAACTCAAATCTATTTATTAACTCACAACTGACATTTCAGCTATTCGAAAAGAAAGACGGTCTTCATAATGTTATTATTAAAATAGAGATCTGTAATAAGACGTTTCTAAATTTTTTGTAAATTATGAATTTGCCATGTTAAATATTTATTTTCAAACATTATCCAAAAATAATGGGTGGAGTCAAATTAATTTTAGAAAACGACCTCATTTCAGCAAGCTTCTCTAATTGAAAATCAATGTATTCGTACTCGATTATCTTATTCACGCTTGCAAATATATTTTTTTATTCAAGTATATGATCGATGGTTTATGAAATCTCGAATAAAATTGAAAAAAGGTTCGTTGCAGTAAAAGAAAAGGACGGAACACTCTATACACATTCGCTAGAAGCGAGTACGTATGCGCTCTGACACGTCTCGCGTTTATAGATCTTCTACGGAGTACGGCGTGACATACACTACCCTCAATGGATCTTTATTTTAAGGTCCATCTTCATCCGTTATTCGCTCGGGCTCAGTCGATGCTCGGTCGGCTGTTCCACTTACAATAGACGCCCTCGCGAGGCATTGTCGTCGTCATCGCGCACGCATTGCCGCGTGGCCGACAACTCGGCGGACGATTTTTCCAAGCATTACCGTTGTTTGTTGCTACAGTTTTAGAATAATCGGAGGCGATGGATCAAGGATTCCCGGGGCAGCACACCACCACGACCACGGTGACGACCACCACAACGACCACTCAGCCCAACATACGGTTTGATCCGGCGTACGCGAGAACAATACCCGGAATTTTGAAAATCGTGCAAGTGGTAAGGCTACAACATCATTTTTCTAGTAATTTCAGCCCGTAGCAGTTCTATTTTTCCACACATAAACCACTTGTGCTTTAATGAAATCATAGAAACTTTTATGACATCGATAAATTGTTAAGGCGACGTCTGGACAATGTTAAAAATACCGGACGATTATCTGAGGCGATCTTGATGTCTTTGCAATTAAGGATAAATTCTTTTTTTTTTCAAATAAATGATATAAAAGAAACATTATAATTGATTATAAAATATTAAGTCAAAATTATTAAAAATATACAATAAAAAAAAAATCAGTTGAAACAACTCGAATTGTTCTTGCATGTAGCGGAGAAACAGTCCCACTTCTTTGAATTTTTTGTTTTTTTAATATCTTGTTTATTGATCTGACTTGATTGTAATTAGTGCAATGAAATTCTGTTACTCTGAGACTTGGTTGCCGATACACTATTTTTTTCAGTGCATGAATATATTTTGATTTAATTGAATAAATTTGATGTAAGTTTAATTTTTATTTGTTTTTTCTTCAAAAATATGACAAAAATAAAGTTTCTTTCTGTAACATTTGATTTCTATTTAAATTTTCAAAGTAGCGACTTCGAGTCAAGTTGAATGAAAAATAGAAATGTAAGAATCCAGAATGTCATCATAAACCGGATCCCTTTATCGCATACACAGAATTAGATAGAAAATAAATTAAAAGTGCATATTTGTTGTATTAGGCATACCTTATTACGTACAAAACACATATTTACCATGAATCAGGATGGTATAAATATCTGGTTACATCACGGATGGTTTCTTAACTCACGCTAATCGCAAGAATCGCATTTGCGTGCAATGCGTATTCGCTTAGCTGCGCAACGCAATTTCACGAATGACAATTATAGTGCCGAGCTTTTCTTTCAGGTACTGAATCTCCTGGGATTTATATGCATAACGGTGTCGACTCACAGTAGTCACAGCCGGGGAGGATGGTTCAATACCGTGGCCATGTGCGGCTTCTGGTTCACGGGAATCCTGCTCGTTCTCTACTTGTTCCACATCATCGAGAAGTTTGCCAGGATCCCGTGGCTTAAAATTGTAAGTCGCTTAATAATGAAGAAAAGTTTTTTTTCATACTTTTAAGTCATTCAATGCGGCTTAACTTATAAAAGTACGAGTAAATGTTAATTATTGAAAAAGGAACTCTAAAAAATGATTGAAAAAAAAGGTTTAACGGATCCCAAAGAGAGCATACGAGAGTTAATCGATTTACGGCTAACAAGCTTCGCGAGTCGATAAAAAAACACTAAAAGTTTGTAACAAGATTTTATTGCTCTTAATGTCGTACGTGATTTCCGCGACGTTCAACGCACTTGAAAATTCTCAACGCCTGAAATTGCTTCTCTTTTAGGCGCTTAATTATTAGTACTTTAATTTTGAAGAACAAAAAGTAATGAGGAGTCAACTCTAGCGAATAGTCAAGTCGAGAACAATAAAATCTTATCGCAAACTTTTGATGCTTTTTCATCGATTCAATCTTGGCACTTTCTAGCCACTTTGTGTATATCTTCTAATCGCGAGATTCTTTAGTTTGTCTGCATAGAGGCGTGCTTAAAATAAATGTAAATAAAAGTGAAGCAGTGTGTAGGACGGGTTGCATTTCATAACGGATGTATGTATGTAATATCATGCAGGAACAGGTAGTGAAAGCCTGTTAGAAAGTCTCTACGCGCGACGCAGGAATCTAAAAATCAACCCACCACTTGGACTTTTATGTTCACGGGTGAACGATCAATTGCGGCATAATAGGGATAATCGTCATCAGTGTCGGAATGATGATTCATGATGAAATTGACCCTTTAGGAATGCACATTACGTAGCATTACGCGGACCATCTCGTGATGTCGTGTGATACTTTGCGTTCAAATCAATCAAGTCGGGCATTTGTACAGCTATCATCTCAATGTTCCAGCGAAAATTCTTTTTTGGACTGTAATTGATCTAATCATTTTAAAGTTTGCGTAAAATTGGAATGTTCGGGTTGGGAAATGTTTTTTTGTCAGTTATGCGTGCTTCATCTTTATCGCTATTGACAGAAAATATTAACTCGTCCGTTTATTGCAACTTGTACATATGTTTTCAGGAATTTGTATTCTGCACGGTTTGGACCGTTTTTTACTTGTTGGCCGCTTCCCTCGCAGCTGACTACGCGCGTTACACGGAAGCCTTCGGCGTGGCAGCGGTAAGAATTGTGCTGTACATTTCTTGATTTATTGATATTTCTTATTCATGCTTCGTAAATATTGGAAAAACATATTCTTGGGAGAAATAGAAAGGGACATAAATTTTCGTAAAATGATATTAGATGTAAAAGAAGAGCTAGTAAGTCTTTTAGAGACGAGTGCCTTCTACAATTTATTTTATCTTTAAAAGGCTGTGAAATGTTATAACATTTCAAAATTAATTTCATATTTCAATGTCAAAAGATCGAAGAAGTATCATACAGGTTGAAAGCATCATAAATTTCAATAAAAAAAATTTTATATTCGAAGCAAGTCGTACATTGAATATATATTGAGTTTGAAAAATTTTCTCATTTCTTCAATTTTATTTTTATAGAATAAAAGCTATGAAACTCTGAATAATTCATTCATGTTTTCTCGAGTAAAATCTTTATGATTTAAAAAAAAACTCTGCGGTCTTCTGAATATCAATTATTTTTAAAGTCATGATTTTCCTTTTTTCTGATGTCTCATGCTCTGATTCTTGGTTTGTTTACAGTTCTTCGGATTTTGCGCGATGGTGGTGTACGGCTACGATGCTTGGCTGAAGTTTAAGGCGGTGAAGAGCGGAGCTTTGGCACAGGGCCAGCACACGCCGAAACAAGTGTCCACCGTCACCAGCCCGGCGTATTAAAATCCGAAGACGGGCCCAGAGAGCACGGACGGACCATCGATTGACTGATTGCACCGATCGCTCAATCGAGACATATCGTATCTTTGTGCGGGGCCAGCCTTTTTAATTACGACGCATTTCTTTTGTGCGGTTAAACGTCAAGCGGCTTTTTCCGCCCGACGTTTTTCCCTTTGATTGCACGTGTGTATGTGTGTGTTTGTACGTATGCATACTCATTTATTTTCACCCGGGTACGTACACTTTTTTTTTTTTCTTCTCTCTCTCTCTCTCTCTCTCTCTCTCTCTTTGTCTCCTTTTCTCTTTTCCTTTTTTTATCAAATTGATAAGTTTTTTATACTTGATAAAGAGGAGGCAATAATCTACTGCGCTGTAGCATTAACTCGTTAACTTATATTCTAACAATAAGAAGCAATACGCTCTCACACGCGCGTTATCTAAATGGATATACATAATCGAACAACGATTGTTGATATTTTATAATAACGCTCGCGGCGTTCTTGCTTTCGGCACACTGTTATTTATGCGACGATGCATTTGCATTGTGTACATATATATACAAACACAACAAGTTGTAAACATTGTTGAATCAGTATCTTAAATTATTATTGAAATCGAGGCGACGCATTGTGGTGCAGCGAAGCTCGGACGTGTTTTAGTGTCATGTCGAATGCTGATGCGAGTGCTAAATCTATTTTAATCTCCTTGATCCTTGTTTGCAAAATCGGCCCAGTCAATCTTGTATTGTTTTCCACAGAACGTTTTGGTTAACGATGGTATTTGTTTTTTGGTCTCGTCGAAGTATAGTAAAGATACAGGATATATTAGATATATCCATTCCGTAACTTCATAACATTATCTTTGTAGTTATATGCTGCACAAATGTAATTTGAAAGTCTGAAAATGTGGAATTCTCAGAAAAATTTTTCCCCGAAGAAATCCGGATATTTTAATAAGACTGAAGAAATTTTTATTGAAAATGTCGAATTTTTAAATTTTACTTTTATGTTGCAATCGATCGATTAGTGATTCTTCACTCTCTTTTTTTAAATACTTTCTAAATTTAATATTTTGAATTTGTGAGCGATTCTCTTTTTCCTTCACAAATACAAATAGAAAATATTGAGAAACAAATTTTTATTTTCAATTGTAAATATAAAAAAATGTACTCTATCTTTGCCAAATTTGATACTTGGAAAATGAGAGAATTTTTTTCAAGGTTTAAGAGTATTTATTTTTGATATTATAATAGCTGCGCAATATGATACACAATGAATTATCGTTGAAAATTACAGAATATTGATAAAGGCGAAATAAACTCAGCGAAGAGCAATACATTATTTCTGTGTAAAAGTAAGATCAATCTCGAGTATTAAAATCTTGAATATCTAGAGTGTACTTGCACGCGAGCCATTTGCAAGCAGGAGCGGAGAACATATAAAGTTAAGATATTGAAATACTATGTTTTTTCTCTTTCATGTCGTGCGTAGTCCTTTTAGATTGTTGTGTAGACTTTCTAGACCGTTCGATATTACGCTTCGTAAGTCGCTAACACACACTGATGGGATCAAAAGTGCAGTTACGACTGCGCGAATTGTACAGGGACGCAAGAAACATTTGACGTAGCGTGATCAAGTAAAACGGCTCTCGAGTCACCGTATCGACTCGCGGCGTATACATATCCGCTGCATTTGTCATATCATCACATCACATTACTCGATTATGCGTAATCTGGCATGATCGATGGTCACGAAAATTCTCTGTGTCACGAATATGCGAATAATTACGCTTCGTTGAGGAATACTGTCTGTTACAAACGACATAAAATATATTTATTAGTTTTGTTATCCTTCAAGATCGAATATATACATCGATATATATATATACATATATATATACACGACATGATATACACTTGTCAATCAATGTCTAGTTAAATATATGGCGCCATGAATAGTGTTATGTATAGCAACAATTGGCGAAATAACATTTCGATATCAGTAAATGTATTCAACGAAATAAATGATCGATTGTTGTTTCCTGGACGTAAGATTCGATTCACTCCCGAGTCTCTTCGACGTAGAGTGAGTTCGATTATGCCCCGTCCACACGCTGTCTTTAAGATGGTGTGTTGAAGAGATCTGATGTTAAATTGTAAACTGATAGTTTGACACAGCTACAATTTAACATCAGATCTCTTCAACACACCATCTTAAAGACAGCGTGTAGACGGGACATCAGGCGACAGCGTGTTTATAAATATCGCGGAGTCACTCGAGTTATTTTGATAAATGTACTTTGCGCGGAGGGTTGCGCGACGAGCTAAACTATAGAAGATTGCGTCAATTGCATCGATTGGGTGTATTGCTAAGATTTTTCTTGTTTTATTAATTTATTTATTAAACTTAATTTACACTAAATGCATGATCTTACATGAGTTACAATACACGTTACCGGTATAATGGCTAATCTCTTAACACCTTAATTTATCACTAAATTTATCCTAAAGATTTTACACGAAGTTATACAGCGCGCGCGTTAAACGCGATGAAGACGCGGTGGCGAGAGATGGTGAAATAAGCGCGGATTAATCCTCCTTAATTTCTGTACTGGAACTGAGGCCGGCGCGCTTGCTTCTTGCCCATCGCTGAAAGATCGATGGTCTTCCCGTCCGGCAGCACCAGCTTGTTTTCCGCGTAATCCACGAAGCCGTTTTCCACGTCCTCCTCCTGCTGCTCCTCGTCGCACCTGATTCCGGTTTCATACGTGTACTCGCGCCGGATCCCGTCCGGATCGATGTATCCGTACTTGCCGCTGGTTATGCAATCCACGCCGATCGTCTCCTCCTTGTACGACCCGTCGTCGTTCTCGAAGCCCCACGTGATGGAACCGTCCGCGTTGTCGTGCCGATATCGCCTGATGATCTGCGAGATAAAAATGTTATTGCCGGACGGAGAAAAGTCCGGGGGGGGGGGGTGTGTTTTACCGGCGCCTTTTCATGGTCCACGGCGCGTTACGAATTCGGCGGGCGTCTAAGACTCGTTTAACGAGCACGCTAAAGACATCGTGTGTTATTTCACTAATTCGACCGAGGAAACGTTATGTAACGGCGCGAACAGGTTCTTCGCCCGCGTTTATAAATTATATTCTCAGGGTGCGCGCGGACAAAAACGGGGGCGACGCCCGATGATTCCGGCTTTCACTTTTCGGTCTCGAAAACCTTACGTCGATTTTTTACGTTCTGACAAGTACAGTTTGTAGCGATCGCGATGGGAAATTTTTTGCGGACTTGTAAACTCCGTGCGAAGAATTTCAACATTATCTTCATTGTTACGTTAATTACAATTAATTTGGCGCGAAGTTCGCGCGTCAGCAAAAATTTCGATTCCAGTCAGGAATTATAAATTTAGGAGTAATAAATTAGGAGTTGATTCGGCTTTAGCCGAAGCGCTCGGCCAGCTTACCTGCGCGACCGGCTTTTTGCCGCGGATTTCGTAAGCTTGAGACGGTTTCACCGGCTTGATCGGTTGCTTGATCGGCTGCTTGTACGCGATGTCGTCGACGATCTGCTTTCTCGGGGCTTTCGTCGGTTTCTGCGTCGGACGATACTGGATGGCTGGTGGCGGCGGCGGCGGGGGCGGCGTTGCAGGGTTTCCTCTGATGCTTAACGGCGTCACTACCTGGGTCGGACGATACACCGGCCCGGGAATCACAGGTACCGCAGCACCGGGTAGCCGCAGTGGATTCGGCGCCACGCGCGGCACCTCCTCGTTCACGTCCTCCTCGCTTTCCTGCTCCTGGCTCAGACTTCGGGAGTCCTCGATAGATTCGTGCTCGCGAGTAGAATCGCGCGCTACATCCTCCTCCTCGGGCTCTTCGTTCACCGGCTTTACGTGCTGCGTGAACGAGGGCGCGTTCACCGGCAAGTTCGGTCGGAGGGGTCGGAATGTACCTGGCGCATCATCTCCGAGGCCTCGAGGCCTGAAATTTTATTATCGAATAATGTCGCTAATTTCTTGAGTCGCGATTTTTGATGTAGTTTTCTTTTAAATGTCGAATAGATTTTATGTAAATATGGTTTATCGTTATAAAGTTGAAAATTATAACTTTTTCACATTGGAAAAAAGATCTTGAATAAACCGTCTGTTGGATTTTGAACGACAAAGAACGAGTCTGATTGAATCCACCAGAATTCCTATTAATGCAAGATTTCGACAGATTCAACCAGAATTTAGACCTGATTGAATCTATCAGAATCTAGTTGCATTGATAGGAATTCTAGTAGATTCTTTCTTCGTTGTTCAAAATCTAACAGTCGACAAGATTTTTTTTCTAATGCATAAACTAAAAAAAACTGTAGAGAATAACTTATATTGATTACTAATCAATTTTATTTTATTAATCTTTTAATAAATTTTGAATTCAATGTTTAATAACACTTCTAAAGACATATAACATAAAATCTTAGAAAGGTGGAGTAATTTTCTTGAATAGCGATCACTTTAGGAATTCGCTTTTAAAAGACTTTCTATTAGTAACAGCGTAAAGATATTTAATCATTTGTGTTATTAAATTATATCTAATCGCATTTCTCAAATATGTTAATCTATTTTCCTGTAAATAGAAAGTACGGAAAATATCAACGAGATATCAAATAACAAGATTTGTAAAACGAAATACGTAGAACTTTGAAAACTATTTTAATTTTTCTCGTACTTGTGTCATTAGACGTATTTATAAATTTGCGGGCAATCGTGTGGAACGGTATTTTGACTTTTCTATTTTACTCTGCAAGTTTATCTAAAAGTAAATTCGCGCATGAGTATTGTATAATTTCGCGATTCTCAAGCATGTCAGCAACATGTAATTTTGCATTTTCTGCTCAATGCAATGCTCGCAGACGTTGCAGCAAACCTAGGTTGTTTATTGGACCAATTAATAGTATATCGATTTATTTTCGCGCCTCTGAAATAGTAACGCGCACCGCCAGAACTGGTTTTTGCGGCCTTTCCAATAGTTCGAGTAACTTTTAAACTCGCATAAGCGAATTATGTCGACTTTAAATTCATGCAATTATTAGGTATTTATCATGGCTAGATTTTCTCACAAGGTCACAGCACATTTTCAACATATTATCAAAGAAAAAAACGTGACATTTAGATTTTATTGGTACACTTGTTAAGAACAAACAAGTTCAAACAAAAAGTATGCTTCATACAAAAAAGAAACTTGCTATCGTAGCGAAATCGTCGTAGCATATTAGATTACAGCGGCAAAATTTCGCTACCATAATTAATTTTTCAGATTACTTTGTATATCAGAAAAATCTGTTTTGTTGGCAGAATACATAAATTTTGCCGAGTATATTTATTTGTATTTGTAGACAATTTAATTCGCTGCTGAAATGATTTATTTCTTAACAAATACGTTTGTCTACTGCAGTGAAAAAAATTTTCGCTGCTAGCACAAATTGTATATAAATACAATAATATAAATAAAATTAGTATCCGTAACAAATCTCGTTCATATAATAACCAATATATTTTACTAAGCGCAAAATTTGCCGGCTAATTCTTTTTTTCCGTGTAGAAATCTCGTACTGATTTATCGGAACAAACGTAAAAAATTTGATTTGCCTTTTAAACCTTTTTAGAAGGAATTAACGATCCCGTTCGACTAAATGGTTTATTAAGTGTTGTGTAATTACCTGAATGTGACTGGTCGGCGAACTCGTTGATTAGACAAAATAGATTGCGGTCCGGTATTTGATCGAGGAACGGGCGGTAATTTCTGATAGCGTGTTGCTCGTATCGGGATTGGTATTGGTCTTTGCCCGTCTTGGAACTGTGCCGAGCAGAGCGCAGCGGCGCACACCAAGAACTGGAAACAAAGATTTGCTTTAAATCGCAATTTTCACGTTAATCGCTTACATTCGTGTTCCAGCTAACTACAGCATTATTAAATCAAAGGTGAAGTGATACATTTCGCCATCATAAATTTAGAACGCTTAATCCTTGGATTCATTTCCTAATGAAGGCTCGCTCAAATAGCAGAGAAGTGATTTTGACGTATTTAAATTGGGATAAAAAAGTAGCTTTCAGATTTATTTAAACATTCTTTAGAAGAAAAAAGTAATCAATAATATTAGAAATTTTATTAAAAAAAAGGATTTTATGAATACTTGTGCATTCAAGGATTAATTAAATATGCCAACTATTACGAAATTAGTAGCAATGTTCGCAGAAAAGAAATATTATGACAACCAGATGATTGCTATATCGTGTATCAGCAATTTCACAACCTTGCAATCGTCCTTGATATGGATGCGATTTTTTCAGAGGAAGTGCAATTTAATAAATCGCTCCTTGCTTTTCAAATAGTACGCTAATCTCTCCGCATTGTATTTCTCTAAAAGACATAGCGAAACGAACCGGCACCGATAGCGATCATTAAATTTCTTTCCAGGTTTTCACTCGTAAACCCGTGAGAAATTCAAGTCGAAGTATTTTCATTGAGCCGCAATTACGCACACTAATAATGTTAATAACAACGATTATTACGCAGGCGCGTCGTAAAAGTCTCCGCGGTGTTGAGATTCTTGAATCAATGAACGGCAACGAGCGCGGCGAAACTGTTTGTCACGCCTGTGTATGACGTGTTATGCGAAACTTGTTCGGATTGTTGCAATATATTCTGGTTTGTGCTTTGCGTTACACACACACAGATACATACATCGCGCGCGCGAAGGTGTAAGTATGCTGCGTACGCAAAATCGGCCGAGTCGCGCAGGAGAAAAGAGAAAGTGATTCGATTCCGAGGGCCTCAAGTCGCGTAATGCATGCGGCATTCCCTCGATTCCGCATAATAAGCGTACGCGTAATCGTTTAATCGACATGACATTTAAGCGACGAGCAACTCGCCGAGGACGGGAAGTGTGAAAAGTAGAAGGACGTTATGCGCGCGTCTGCATTTCGTAAGGTCGCGGTAGGCACGATAGAAATCGCGGCAACTGTTGATCAGCTGTTTCACTTTCATTACAGAATTATTGCAGAATTGTATTTAACAATTTGTAGATTTGCATATTTAGTTTCATAATATTTCAAAGAAGCAAAAGTTAGTAAGACTTTCTTTTTTATCATTCGATTCATATTGAATTACGATGTCAAACAAATTATGTGAATTTTTTTTTCTCGTTCATTGAAATCAAGTAAATTCAATTTATTATTATTAACTTTATTTCCATGTTTGGTAGAAAAAAAAGTTGACTATTTTGTGGTTCTGACATCGTAATTCAATATGTAATGAAGAATCAGGAATCTTAAGTAATTAAGGAAGAATTTTTATTTTCTTTCTGCAATACTTTACGAAACATGATAAGAAAGAAGCAGATTTGCTTTTATTAATTTTTTATTAAAAAGAAAACCTAATCTTGTCGCTTTCAAAAATTTTTTTAGATCGCAGGCCTGTAATGTTTAAATATATTTTGTTTCATTATTAGTTAAAAAATTTGTTAAATTAATCGCTAGCGATAATTTGACTAATATTTTTGCTTGGAAACGAGCCTGTAATTTATGTCGATAAAAAAATGGTACACTAAGCAGATTTTGCCCCGAATGATGCGACTTGGCTAGCATTCAATGCTAGCGGGCAAATCTAATTGAGTTCATTTCTTACGCCGTTTTCGAATCGAGGCACGTGTTGTTTATGCAGAATACGATTAAAAATCTGTCCGCGACTTTCTTTGCCGAGCACTTTCACTCGTGTTCGTTGAGTTATGGATTTTCAATCTTTGATTATATTGATCGAATTGTTCGAAATCCCGGAAACAAAGTTCCAAGAATACAAAGTTGGATATCGAAATCAATTTTTTAAATATGGAAGGTTTCTGAAAGTTTGTAGCGAGGGCGTTTCGGTATATATTTTTAAAGATTGAGTACATATTATTACGAAAGTAAACATAATGTATATAGTATACTTTAAAATATGAGGGAAAAGCTTTAGAGATAAATTCACCGGATGAAAATAATGAAAAAAGTTTTGATTAATATTTTTCCTGGTGTTGTTTTACAAATGATTTATAATAAAAGTTATCAAAACACAGAAATGTAATGCAAGAATAAGATCAGATAAGGCAAATGCACTTTTTTCTTGTTGAAGTTGTGTTATGAAACATTCTATATGTATAATGACGTCCTTAACGAATATAATTAGCCACGTAATTTTATATACAGTAAAAGTAAAATATGTATTCATGATTATATATCAATCAAAAAACAGATGCTTTTACGAATAATAATGCAGCAAACATGCATTATTTCACGATCACATATTATCACTTAATTTTATCTGTTCGTAAATTCATAATTACAAGTTTGCGCATGATGCTCATATAATGAGTACGATTCTCTTTATTTCCGTGTAATTTAAATTACTACTAATTAAATTGCAATTAATTTAAGTTACTTCCCGTTGAATAAAATATTACGTGTAAAGTGAGAACAGCGAATCTAAGCATTAGTTAAAGATACTTGGCGTGCTCTTGTTGTTCTAATTTTTTTATTAATTCAATTTATTAAATTTAAATCTCCACCGCACAGTCTGTAAGTGTACCGCGACCGAAATTTCACTGTGCCACTCGAGGGTTAAAGATGAAAGTGATCGACGAGTAACAGGTGGGGCCGCACGCGAAAGAAAGCGAATGTAGTTTCACGATGCGAGGATGTGCGAAGTAAAATATGGCTATTGCGGTTAAAAGCTTTTGTTTTTTTTTTAAACACGGTGTACTTTATGATTGGTTTTAATTAGTTTATGCAATATAATGCTTAATAAATGATAAAATAGCTGACAAACAGCATGATACATTGCATAATTTATTTTGTGGTTTGAAAAAGTCAACAGACGTCAAGCGACACGTTTATAATAAAACATCGTGTTATATAACTAAAATATTCGATAAGTGTATTATGTAAGATTCGATAGCATAGAATATTGCAGGTAGCGTACACATATTAGCGATATATTTTGAAAAATATGAAATTACTGAAAGATTTTTGAGATATTACTTTATAGAAATTTAATTATGTTATATTGAAAATATATAAAGAATAGTTACATAAAAATTACAATCATTACTACATTATAATCTTGATTTTTTGCATTTATTTAAAATTATTAATTGACAATATTTTTTTTCGATAATATTTAGAACTTGTTACAATTTTTTAATATAAAGAAGTTTTCGCTACACAATCAGATTTTTAAAAAGAAAGTAAGATGAAAGTTTTGTAAAAACTACTGAGTGTATTAGATAAGAATGATGGAAATTTATTATTTAAAAAGTATGTGAATTTCTAATATTCTGGAAATTATTACATTTATTTAATTAAGATTATCAAGTAATTAATAAATCATGTAATTTTTCTGCAATATTTAAGATTTGTTAAAATAATTATTTTTTATTTTATACTGACTACTTATTCGTATACATTTTATTTTAGACAAAAAATTGAAAAGATTCTTTAAATTAGAAAGTCTATTTTTGTATACAAAAATGCAAATAAAATGCCAAATAGTACATTTATATTAATAAAAGTATATTTATAAAATTATATTTATATTATATTTACAATAATATATTTATAAAATAGACACAGAAGAAAAAGTATTTACGAAACTAACTTTGATTTTCAACTATTAGACATTCAATTTTGCGAGATAAAATTCCAAATTTCATGTTGCTCAAAATAAAATTGTTTTTGCAAACTTTTTGCAGGAGGTGCCGGCAACCGGGATAAGGGATGCGCGCGGGATGGCGAACACTTTACTGCTGGTACTCACAATTACCGCGACGCGCATGTTGTGTCCGTTGTCGCAATGATGGGCACACTGGGTGTGGTGCCGTGGCGCGTTTGTGCCTCACACTACCGCGAACGACTCCCCGTCTCCGCGTTCTTATACTTATATCCCCGTTTAAATTCCTATGGTACGACCAGCAACATGGAGCAGACCAACTTTCCATCGGCCAGCCGGGAATTGTATTCCGCGCTCGCTCGCTCGCTCGCGTCGCGTCGCGAAAACAATCCACCAATGCAGCCCCGTGCAGCCCGCCTCGCGTTGAGTCCGTCAGAAGATGCTCTTTTGCATCGATCCCTTGATTCACGATTGAGCCGGTTGTAGTGGTGAAAGTAACCCTTCAAGGAAATTCATTTTTTATTCGTTTTCTAATGTTAAGACCGCAAGAGGCGCGGAAGAACTGCCAGACGCGAGTCTTTATTATTTTTTGTGATTTATGAGGTTTTAAACTTTTTGTGCTTTGTCCTCGAAAATGTATTACACGTCTGCAAAATTTTAGATCAATTTCTGTGTATATATAATTTATTTACTGTCGACATGTTGCTCATTGTCACTTGACTGATTTCTGATTTATCGTTTCATCGAATTTTACATGGATTATGCTTGAAAAGAACTAACAATAAAGATTAGTGTAAAATTGTCAAGTAACTTGCGTATCGCGAACAGGTTGCTGTATTCACTTATCGGCAATAATAATTATACTCTATCTAGCGACAGGGATAAGTTTGAAGACTCATTTTTAGTTTCATAATAATTGTCAAACAGTTGATTAATATCGCGAAATAACAACTGTCTAATAGATATTACTATTGCCAAGAGTCTTTCTCAAGGATTACAAATGAAATGATCGACGACTGTTGCAGTCCAATGAATCGCGCGTATAGTCTGGTCAATCCTGTCGTGAATTATTACTGTGTGTACTTCACGCAGCGTCTAAAGACTCATTGAGTCCTCTGAGAGATTCTCTGTCGTCAGAAGTAAAGGCAGAGATTGATGAGAGATCTTGCGACATATAGAAATGACGATCATTTGTTGAGATTATGTATTATTGAATATGTGCA